TTTTGTTGGAAAATGTTTATTTCGCCAAAGTTTCGGATGGGTCCTGGTCCAGGTTCAGGTTTAGGTCCAGAACAGCGGGGCAGAGGGTTTGAGTGGGCGACGACCGTACGAAATTGACGGGGCGTGGGCCAGAGAACCAAAACCATACCGTTGCAGTCAATAATTGTAGGTTCTATTTGAGAAATTAATGAAAAAAAATACCGTGCCAAATACTTGGCAACATTGTTGCAACTGGGAAAACATTTTGTGGAAAAGTAAGTAAGTATAAAATGGGAAAGTGTTCGCAGAATGGAACTCTGTTTTGTGGGGTTTTAACATGAATCGAAACAGACACATTTTGGAAACTTTAAGATGTTTAAACTTCCTTTTTTTAACAGTAGATATTCCACATAGGAATACCTCAAGTACAAATGAAATGTGGAACCACTTTCCGCATAGTTTCAATATTTGGGACGCAATTCAAAACGCAACTTAAACCCCATTGAGATGGTTCAAGCCATCTGCTTATGGTGCTCAAACGTAGGGAATAAATTTGAGGGTCTATTGAGGCTCTGTTGTGGCAGGTCTTAAGGCCCCGGTAAACTCTGTTAAACCCCCTATGAATAGCTTTGCAGATAACACGAGAGTCAAGTCATTAAGATCCTTTGGAATTGATTGAAACGGTTGTAGACGGGATTTCCCAAAGCGACGGAATGTAAGAACCTTATAGATGTAGAATATCTGCAATATATGGTAACAGAAGATAATTTCATAATTTAATTCGACTTAAATAAATGAAAAAAGAGAAAAGATATATAGATACCTTCTAGGTATTAAAGGTTCAACATTTAAAGCCCTCAAAATTTCCAGATTTCACATTTTTCCCAAAATATAATACCTAAACTAAGGGAAAGTAAATAAATAAAATGAAAAATCATACAAAATACTGAATAAATGAACCCCAAAAGCCACGAAAAGCTTAGCCACAGCCAACAAATTTTTGCAGCGGTTTTGTGCTGCCTCCAATATTCTCGTAGAGCGATGTTTTCAATGCTAAAATTTAAGCGGTTACCGCAGCCTATTTATAAACATTTACCAGAATTTAACACGCCCTCGCTGTCACCCCCAATGGGGGGTAGAGGCATAAGCCCAAAGAAGATTCGTCGAGTGGGTTTTTGGGCATTGACGTTTTGGCCTGGTGCTGCATATCCGCTTGTGGTGGACCACAAACGCTGCGGCAACCACCCAGAGACCGCCCTAAACCACTCGGTGGAACCCAATGGCCTAACCACTTGATGGCCTTTTTGTTTCGCGAAAAAGACCAAGCTCCCTCCATCGCACAGATTCGAGGGTACAGAGCTATAGACAGAGCTCTTGCTGGTCGATTATAGGGTATATGCTTCTACCCCATGTGGCAAACATCATCCCGAGCCCATGCTACCCTTTGCATCTGTTACAGAAATGTCAATGACCATGGGCAATCACATTTATCAGACCATCAATGGGGTCTTTTTTGTTGTTGTTGTTGGTGTTGGTGTTTTTTTTTCTTATTTCAAGCCCACCGCGAGATCTCTGCCGCTGTCGCGCTTTTGTTTACGTAATTAAAAGTGGAGGCTGATGAAAAAACGATAGCTCAAAGAGAGAGAGAAAGAGAGAGGGGGAGAGAGAGGGGGAGAGAGAGGGGGAGGCACAGAGAAGAGAGGTTTATGTGTCACTTAAATCAGTTGAGCGAGCTTAAAATGTTAATACAACAACTTATTTACGCCGCGTTGCCCAATAAATCCGCATAACATAACTGTATGTAAGCACACACACACAGCACACACACACACACAGCACACACACACACACAGCACACACACACACAGAGCACACTCCTCGACTCACTAGGTCCCTTCTCGCCCTCGTTGTTCTCTTTTTCGGGCGAGATACATATGTATATATGTATGTATGTATGCATGTGGAACGTAAGTGATGTGTGGACTTTATTAAGCCATGCCATGGCCAACGAAAATTGCAATGAATGTGGCAACATTCATAACTCTCTCGACGTGCATGTGTGTTCTACAGACTTTATTTAACGGGAATATCGTTAGTGGCTTAGTGGTTCTGCAAAGACACGCCGCCATCCACAGGATAACAAACCCTGACGACAGTGTTTAGCAAATTTCGCAGTTATCATTTTTCCAATCTGTCCCACTGTAGCATGAGCAACGCGCAGATACGATGTCGCACGCCGCAACAATCTCAACCAGCTGACTGAAGAATGCCTCACGTTCATTGACTGCAATGCCTCCGATATAGTAAAACATGATTCCTTTGAAAAACTGTCCAAGGAATCACTTTAATGAAGTTATTTGCGAAAATACCTCTTGTAACATCACGATCGAAGTGGATGATTCTTGCGACCAGACTCACTGGGATTTTGTGGGATCGAATTGCTATCAGAAAGCGAAATTCAACTTTAAGGAGCGACGCGTTCGCTACATTCGTATCGGAACTGTACCTAGTGGTTCTGTACAGTCTCTGACAGCCATGTACAAAAATTAGCACTGTGACTTTGTGCATCAGCAGCGACCTCTGAGTGGTGAAGGTTACGTCCTTTGATGAAATATAGACTTTAGTAGCCGTATATATATGAATATATGAAGCCTGTTTGCGTAGCCTTGTCCCTGCATATTCACTGTGGTGCAGCCTGTCAGCACACAATTTCCAAGATTCCTATTTTCTATTTCTTACACGCGTAAAATTTCACCCAATGCCGAAAAGGAAAGATCAACTTCGGCTACATATATACAATCTTTCATGGTAGATACATATGTATGGCGAGGGGATCCGAATGGAATCCAGTGTGTAAAACGTATTCAAATATAATTAAACATTACCTTTAAAAAAAACAAACAATTGGATAATGGTATATTTTCTGGGGGAAATTTTCAGATACTGTTCTTGATTCATTACCCCTTCAATGAACACCAGATTTCATGCTTATTTTTGTCGAAATGCAGCCCAAAATCATAACGGTACCCCCGCCATGTTTCACTGTTGGTCTTGACTGATTTTTATGCAGCTCAGGATTTGGTTTCCGGGAAACCATAGTCTTGGATTTGCTTTCGTCTAAGGATATTACATCATCACACCAGCTTTGGTCCTTTTGGAGTACTCCTGGCCAACTGTTTTCCTTATCTTTCGGTTGTGCTCAGAGAGCAAAGGCTTTTTCTTTGCGACTCGGCCGTTGTGCCCATGTTTTTATACCCGATACTCAAAATGAGTAAGTATTGGGGTATATTAGATTTGTGGTGAAAGTGGATGTGTGTAACGTCCAGAAGGAATCGTTTCCGACCCCATAAAGTATATATATTCTTGATCAGCATCAATAGCCGAGTCCATTGAGCCCCGTCCGTCTGTCCATATCAGCGCCTAGTGCTCAACGACTATAATAATAATTATTAATAATCATTAATATATACATATATACCTCTCTAAAAAGGTATATATATATATTTTATACAATGTATACACGTTTGAAATTAAGAAGAAGAAAAAACCGAATATTAATGTTACCCACTGTAGATGGATTACGACTAAAAGATTAATAGATTATTTTTCGAAATTATTCTACTTATGATATTTGACGGATGTAGAGGCTCAAGTTTGTGTGGTATTTAAGGGTCTAGTATTCCACTAGCTGCTGTCTTAGATTTGGGTTTACTTGATCCCCAATTTCAGGGATATGGATATCTTTCCAGAGCAAACCAGGAGGTCGTTGGTCATCGCTCTTAGGGTTTTTGTTTGGAAAACTAATATTTTGTTAGGTCGCGGGTTCTTGCTGTTGGTGCACATCCCCAGACTCGAATGGCGTATGTCGATAAGGGAATTATTACTTTTTTACTTTTTGATTTTATAAGCCATTAAATATTTTTATTTTTTTTTTCAAGTTTTTATAGACTGATCAATACAAAATCCCTTTAGATTCTTTCCCATCCAATAGATCCTTCAGCTTCTATCATTTTGGATTTATTTCAATCCACAATCTTCCCCTAAATATTTCCTAAACAATTGAAACGTTTAATTTTCTCTCTAATTGCAATTAAACGTTAATCACAATTCAATGCTTTAGTGCACTAAGTTGTAGCTTCCATTCTAAAGGATATAGAAACCCATAAATCTCATTCACACAATAGAGAGAGAGAGAGAGAGAGAGAGAGAGAGAGAGAGAGAGAGAGAGAGAGAGAGAGAGAGAGCGGTCCCTCGGTCTCCGTCTCTTTCCGTTCATCTTCCGCATCAACGCGCTCAAATAAAAGCCAGATACCGAGTAGTAAATAGTTTTCCCCCCCTCGCATAGCCCCTCCCCCCTCCAGCAAAATTCCCTGTTAATGTCATCGGACCGCCCCCTCCCCCATTCATTGGGGCTTTATTTACGCTTCACTGAATTGATTATCAAAAATTTATTGATAACAATTTCTTCTATGTTGTTGTTGTATTAGCAAAGCATTACCTTTTTGCTCTTAAATTGAAATTAATTTGATTTGAACATTTATTCGACTAATTGAATGTTGGTTTAATGTAAAATTTTAGCTTAAGCTGAGAAATTCTTACAATATTGTTCCAGACCTTTAAATCAGTTGAATTGATGGAAAGAATACTGTGAAAATGATGCGTATTAGAGCGATTCGAAGTTATTAAAATTGAAGAGATTTGGATTGCAATTTAATAACAAAAAAATACTAGAAAATACTAACAAAAATACCAAATATTATTATCCATACAAATTCTCGAATAAATACTAGATATGTAAACAGAACCAGAAAACTACAAAAAAAAAAATACTAGACATACCCAATGGCGATCAAAATTACAGCTATCCAAAAAGTTCAAACTAGATAAAGTCCAGTTTATATTCAAATAAATCCAAGGACAGGGTAACCTTTGCTTAGATCGTCTCTACTGTAGATATTGGATTCAGTATTTCATACGACTATCGACTGAAGCCCCAAAAATAAACTCCCATTTCATTCAGAATGAATATATTTCGTCTCATGGCAGATCTGGCCCATGTCTTAGCCATTGTAATACTGTTGCATAAAATATGGAAATCTCGTTCGTGTGCCGGTATATCGGGCAAGTCGCAGATACTGTTTGCACTCGTCTACTTTATGCGCTATTTGGATATCATGACCTCGTATGTGAGCTTCTATAATTCGACAATGAAGTTGTTATTTTTGGGTACTTCTGGAGCTACTCTGAATCTGATTTATCGCAAGTTCAAGCCATCGTACGATCACAATCATGACTCGTTCCGCATTGCTTACCTCCTGGTGCCGTGTGCCTTGCTTTCGCTTTTCTTGAATCATGAATTTTCCGTTTTGGAAATACTCTGGACCTTTTCAATTTATTTGGAATCCGTTGCCATCCTGCCGCAACTATTTATGGTGGCCAAGACTGGAGAAGCCGAGTCCATAACGAGCCACTATCTCTTTGCCTTGGGCTCCTATCGGGCGCTGTATGTCTGCAATTGGGTTTATCGCTACATCGCAGAGTCGCATTTCGATTTAATTGCCATCATCGCTGGCCTCGTTCAAACTATACTCTACTGTGATTTCTTCTATCTATATATTACCAAGGTCCTGCAGAACAGGAAGCTACAGCTGCCCGCATAATTGGAGGGCTTTCAAAATTATTTAAACACATCAAAAAAACACTTTAAGGCAGTTAAGTAGAGGAAGATTTGGATTTTAAGGATATACAAAATATATATATCGAATGAGAAATTTTGTTGTATTGAAATATTAAATTAATGTACGAAATATCCCACAAATGATCAGATTTTCTCTCTATTATCGTCCGATATTTGACTCATATCGGCGTGAGCGACCGTAGCCGGGTGAGCCGGGGGTAGGCAAACGAGCGAAGCTTGTCCCCTAGGGTGTGTACACCTCTTGGAACCCTTGAAATTCCTCCTGTTGGATTACGATTCTTGATCCCCTTTTAAAAGTAGACAAAAGTTGTAGGTTTCTGTGTAATTGAATGCTTTTGGCTTAATCCCTGTACTTAGACAAGAACAACCATTCCCCTTACAACTATTCCTCCATCCATCTATTCAAACTAATTAAACAATTTCCCTGGCTTTGTGCTCCGTCACATTGAAAAGTTATTTGCCTTCGTTTTGCCTTCGTTTTGCCTTCGTTTTCCCTAAGTTTTTTTGTGCGTGTTTTTAGTAGCTCAACTTACAACAAATCAACACATTGAGTTGCCACTGAGGTGAGGCATGGTGACACGCAGTCAAGTGCAATAACAAAAGCCAAAAACAGCTTGATGAACTCAACTTTATGGGCGCCACAACAGACGAGTTGTGCGGGGGAAGGGGGCGGGGGGGGTTTTTTTTTAAGGACATTAGTTGCTAAATTAGTGGAGAGCTTTCCATTCCACTAACTCCTTTTTTGTGTTACCATTTGAAACATATTGTGCCACCCATACGATCCATGGCTGTGTCTCTTAAGTGCTTCTTTGGGCTTCCCCTTTTTTTTAATGGGGTTTTTGCCAGCTTCGAGTAGAGGGGTTCTCGACGAGTCGAATCAGCTGGCTTAGTGCAATTTAATGCACAATTGCTTGGGTTTAACCTACGACCCCCCAGTACAGTACACCCACACAACGCCAGGCCGCCCAGAGCATGTTTTGTCTTTAGTTGTGGGGCGGACGGGTGGAACGGGGTGCTTGCCGTCTGTTCTTGTTGCTCTTGTTGCCGATGTTGTTGTCGTCTAGTCACGTCTGCTGATGACAAGCGTCTGTTGTGCAGCACAAGGCATACCCCCCTTTGCCCCTCTCCGATCCGACATATTGAATGTCCTGGGCCAGGGCCTGGGCCTGGGTCCTGGGTCCTGGGTTCTGTGTCCAGGCGCTTCGTTGCGCTGCATGGCGCATTTTCCAACGCCATTGTCCTGCTGTAGGTACTATTTTTGTGTCGCACAATTTACTGCACTTCCTGGGCCAACAGCACACAAAAAAAAAAATGAGAAAGAAGAATACCAAACCATCGTGCGAGTGTACACCAGAGACAGAAAAGAGGGTCTGGAGCTGGAGACCCGATGACAAACTTGGGGGGAGGCCAGCGAGCGCGCATTGTCTCGATAATTACCCATGTCCCCTGGTGTGGCAGTCAGCCATGTGACTGCCGACTGCCGACAGCCGACAGCCGACTGGTGACCCTTGGCCCCGTTTTCTATCTATCAACAACTTTTGCCGAACAAAAGTTGGGCACGTTTCGCCACAGACAACAAGAGAGACAGAGGGGGAGAAAAGGGAGCCATGCTCGCCTACTCGGGCAATTGGCAAACGTATTGCCAGCGCAAGGACATGTCAAAACTACATACGACTGTACACCGAGCACAGTAACTCTCTCCCTCTTCGATGGCTACTTCAAACAGCTTAAAGAGTGCCTTGCCTGGTGTCCAACGCTGTGATTTGAAATGTCGAGACATTCGAGGGCCTGCGACACAACTCGAGTTCCAATCGAAGCCCGGACCTCGGGGCACGAAAAACCGAAATGTGAAACACCATTTCAATTTTCAAGGGGAAAAACTTTAAAGTAATTTTAAGTTTTCTGATTTTAATTGTAGGAAAATTTACCGTTTCGGCCTTTGTGCTTTTATATAGCACAATCTTTCCTAAAACCATACCCGATATCTAAATTTAAGGCTCAAAATTACATAATTTACACAATTTATGATCCTCACGGGTCTTCTCTGTCATCGGAGATAGGTAAACCCTTTAACAAGTGGAGAAACACTTGACCAATCTAGTCTTAAGATACCACTCAACATACCATCCCTTCAGTGGGTCTGGCGATGATAATAGATCATAATAATGCTAGATCATATATAAGGAATGGATTTTAAGAATAAATTACTTACAAATTCCTAGACTTCTCACCTATTTTATGCGGATATATGCTCTAAAACACTCACATAACGATGATTTTTGGCAGATTCTTAAAGAACAATAACGATTTGTACACTTTCTTAAGATCCCATAGGAGAAACTTGTCTAACCTGTAGATGTTTAAACAGTATATTATCATGGGATCTGGTCTGCATTCCTAGGCTTGCCCCAAGGGATTTACCAATTGGACTCTCCCACCTCAAAACTCATATAAAATACCCCAATCTGTTCACTTTAAAGTCAAGGACAAATGGCAACAGCATAAATATTGAATATGACACAGAAACCAGCCGAATCCGACGCAGAGGATACACCAGACACTGACACGGAACAGCCATAAACATAAATCTCTGGCATTTAGCTTGGGCCGAAAACGAAATCAGGCAAACCCCCCACTAACCGTCTAAACGTTGGATTAGGTTAGGGGTTAGAAATGGGGAAATGGGGAGCACGGAACTGGTGCAAACGGCAACAAAAATTCAATTGTTTTTCCAGGCACAACAATTTAATTTGACACGTACTTTTAATGTTGAGAGTTCTCTCTCTCTGTCTCTGGGAAGATACCAAAGCCACCCATGTGAAATTGAATTTAGATACAATTTCCTGTGACTGCGTGACTCGTCGCGCCTAAGCCCTCCCCCCTCCCCCCCCCCCGCGTACAGTACTGGTGACTGTACCCGAGACCTGTGTCTGTCCTGGCAATTAAAAAAATTGCTATGGGTGCAAACAATAAATAAGCAATTTATATGCACAAATGCATTTATCGAGCGTGAAAAGATGCCATGAATGAACGGCCCCCTGGACCGACCACAGGGGGAGTAGGAGATCAATATATATATATATCGTATATATCGTATAAAGAGAGACCTTTAAAGTGCATAAAAATTGCACAAACGATTGCCAGCTGACGCTATTAATTATATTTACCATTTCGATAAGAAAAAGTCTACAATAAAAATTACAATGCGTAAAAATCAGACAAATTTAAGGGCAATCAATAAGCGAATGGTCAATGCTCTGCAGTGAATGAATATTCCCCCTATTCGTTTCAGCTGAATGCCGGTTTTGCCAGTCACAGGTAAACGTTGGTTGAAACGAATCCTTTCCACCCTTGGAATGTTATGGTTAGGGCATCCAAAGTGTCTCCTCTACCATCCAACTATTTCCATATGGGGTTCTTTTTGTCCTTTTTTCTTTGTCTTTCTTTCAGTTTTTTGCTCCAACAATTCAATATTTGCCTAAAAAATTTACGAGGCGTGACAGGATGGCCTGGACTCTGGTAGGGGGCGGCGGGGGGAGTCGGTTTTTTCTTTTATTTTCATTTTTTTTTCGTTGCCTCTGCATGCAAATGCGACGCATGGCGTTATTAATTCTCTCGCTGAGTAGCCGTTGAGTCGCCAGTCCAGTGGGGGGCTGTGCCCCAAGGCCCATGCCACATGCAATCGTATAAAAAAATTCCATGGCCTACTGCTTCACAAATTGCCCTCAAAATGGTGGGTGGGACTGGTGGGGAGGGGGGGATGGTATGTATAAAAATAAAGAAAAATATTTATGAAAATATTTTGTTACATTTCCGCGAGTGGCTGTGCGGTGTGTTTTTTTCCCCAGTAACGTGAGGAATGGGCAATTCTGGAATGCGCTTCACTTAATAATTACTATTGTTATTGGATGTTGAAGGGGTGTGGCGGGGGGGGAATACCATTTATTGGAATTTCTGGAGGAGGGGGGATTTTAAGACAAAGAAAATCGAATCAAGGTTCAGTGTTTTTAACCCTCTCCAGAGGTTATAAGGTAGTATTCTGAAATAGGGCACAAAAAGCTTACCTTTTGTTTGGCTCCTTGAACACCTGGCTTTCTCACACGTTTAAAGTGTTGCATACTTTTGGGAGGCAAGCCGATTACTGGGCATGATAGAGTCGACTCCAAACTGTAATTTCAACTGCAATTAGAAAAAAAAATCCTTCCATGTTAATTACATAAATGTTTTCAATGGTTCGGGAATGTGCTTCAAATCGATTAAATACACAAAACATTGAGGAAAGGGCGAAGAAATTTAAAGGCAAAAAGGGGTAAATATTATTAGGTGTTAGGGGGGACCTTTATTAGAACAAACATTAGAAGAACTTGAACGTAAAGTAGAACCAGTAAATAGTTGAGTGGAAGCCACCTGCCATTCCGCTTAAAAAAAAAAACACAAAATAGATACTTAAACATAACAAAAAATGACTTAAATATTAGTTTTTGGTTTTTGTTTTTCTGTTTTTTCTTTTTTTTGGAGGTTGAGCAGCTGCTGGTGGCTGGTTGCTGCTTGCCGCACGTTGCAAAATTAATCACGGAACGGAATGGGGGCACTTTGGAGTTGTTTTTGGACAGGCTAACGCTACCCATTATGACAAACGGCGACGGCAGATGGTGCCACACACACACACACACACACACAAACACAATGCATGTCATGCAAATTATGAAAGTTTTATGGCTGGACAGACAGACAGAAGCACAGTCCATACCCTGGAAAGGCAAGGCAGAGAGAACGAAACCGACTAATAAAGAGAATAGCAACTTCAAGTTGCTCTCTCCCTCCCTCTCCCTCTCTCTCCCTGTCTCTTTCTTGAGTTGGTTTCATTTTTCAAAAAACTTGTCAAAATAAGTTTTATTGTTTATGATAAACAAAACAATACTACAATGGGAATTGCATTTAGAGAAGGGGAGGAGTTGGGAGCGGGGGGGTGAGGGCGAAATATATATTTATTTATTTCTGCAACGTAACCCGCACACCCCCCCCGCCACCACCAAAGGAAAAGTTGGTTCCACTTTCATTTTCTATCTCCCTCTCCCTCGCCCTCTCTGTGTCCTGTCTCTTTCTGTGTTTCACTGGGTGAAACTTTTAATTTTCCAAACACGTTCCGGACAAATGAAAATAGCAGCCATCTCTATGCTTGTTCTTCTCACTCTTTTCGATACCCTGTAAAATAGTGGCATGCCAGAAGGGGATATATGTAACAGGAAGAAATGGGAAAAAGATCCCAAGAACCTTAAGATCTAGGAGATTGCTCATCTTTTGGGCCTGTATGGACCTTAGTTATCCGGATTATCCCTTAGATTTCTCTGTGGGGTATCCACAATTTTTTAAAATCTAAGAATTATTTTTCAAGCCCTCATATATAACGATATTTTCCATCTATATACCAAAAATCATCTAAATCGGAAGAAAAAAATCATCAAATTTCCCATTTATTATTCTCTTAATTTCGGAGCTAATTTTGAATAATTTTACTCCACTTTAGAACTTTAAAACTCAACTAATAGGTATTCCAAAGGCTTTTAGCCCTCAAAATAAAGCTGTGTTAGCTGGTGGTATCAAAAAAACTACCAGTTTCAGTTTCCAGAGTATCGTAATACGTTGGACAACCCAGCCCCATGCCCCATGCCCCATGCCCCACGCACATGCCGCACACGCCGCACACGAATTGTCTGTGCAAACATATGGAATACTAGAATCGGAGAATTGGAAACGTGGAATTGTCGACGTTCTCGTTGACCACCCATCCGTAGACCAGCAGCTAGCAGCAGCCCCTAAGCGCATGACTTCACTTTCTTTCCTTTCCTTTGCTTTCGTTTCGTTTTGGGGGCTCATCCCAGCGGATAGTTAAAGTGTCCAAAACGATTTAGTGGAGGTTATGTGTGTATGTGTGTGTGCTGCGAGTACTCGCTGGGAATAATGGAGTGCCGTCGCCCGGGTTCGGTTCAGGAGATTGCTTTCGTCCCCGAAGACGGTCAACAAAGTGATTTATGGTACACAGAATTCTTTGGGATTATTTAATGATTAACTTTTTAAATAGTATTCTGAAAATCCCCTTAAAATTCCCAAGCTTTCAATTAGGCCCAAAAATTGTACGCAACCCAAAAAATGTTGCACCAAAAATTGCATTTGGCTGCGGAAATGGTCGGTTGGGGTTTTTGGGCCGTTTTCAAAAGGCAAACACGCCACGCCATGCGCCCGGGTAAACAGTTAGATAGAGAGCACCCGACAGAGGGGTACAGTTGTGTGTACAAAACGCAATATGCTCAACATGTTGGCAAACTTTCACAACTGTTAAGGTAAATATTACATACGGCACAACGGAATGCCTTAAAATAACAAAACGTTAACGCAAACGCAAACCGAGTGAAGGCCGTGCTCGATTTTGGGGCTTAGGGGCGGTGGCAGTGGCAGTGGCGTTGGAGGCGTGCCAAATAATGTATACATATTTTTTAGAAATATTTATTGACTTAAGTATCTTTCTCTCCGATTCCTATCTTTGTTAAACATTGAAAACATTTTCATTGGGCTTTAGTGTCAGAACATAGGAAATCATCTTCCAAAAAGCCACAACCGAATTTAGTATCTATTTAGAAGCTGCTTCCGACAGGACTTCATCCGAAATGTCTCGCGCAGGACATAGAGGCGATATTCCAGTTATTGATTTGACGGGAGACAGCGGCGACGAAGCAGAGGAATGCAGCAATGCCGTATTGTGCCCCATATGCTACGAGCACCTGCACGAACGAGGGTCCAGTGGCCACCATCTGCGGACACCTGTTCTGCTTCAAGTGCCTGAGGAATTGGGTGAGGATCAGCTCTGCATATCCCCTGTGCCGATAAACGATAAACGAGCAGGCCTTGGACGCCCCGACTGGCATTTAGTGTCGGAAATTATATCAAACCGAATTTCCATTCAATAGAAATTGTAGAATAAACTTGTAGAATTTTGTAACCAGAATATCACCCGAAAATGGCATCGATTACTGGTACTAACGCCTTAGATGGGACCATGCAGATAATTGACTTGACGGGCGACGACGATGGCAAGAAAGATGGCCAGGAAGCGCCCCAAAGGCGCCGTCCAGCCCAGAAGAGCACTCGCGGTGCCCGTTGTTGTCTTTGCTGCAAATACCTGAAGAATGCGTCGTCAATGGTAGCCACCTGTGGACATGTCTTCTGTTCGAACTGCTTGCTGGGATTGATGGAAAATGATTCGCAGTGTTCCTTTTGCGGGCAAGACCTTGACGAGGAGTCCATTTTTCCAATATATCCCAAGTACAAGGATTAATTATGTACTACCGCATCATTGTAACATTAAGAGTTGTATTAAAGATTGTAGATCATTGCATGACCGGCCAAAAAGCTGTTCGTAGGGCGACCGCTGTCTAAAGACTTGCTTTTCGGTGCCGAGATTCCAGCAACGAATCCTCATAAAATACGAGTATATCGATGGAAATGGATGATGTACGCCATGTCGCTGGACGTCCTGGTATATCTAGTCGGCGAAGAAGGCATTGCCAACAGCCGTCGAATCGGGTTTAATTGCAAGGACATGGCATGGGCTACTGGGGATCCCCACTCGGCCTCTGACTCAGCCTCGGATGACTGAATCGGTAGCGATAGAGTACCGCCGACCTGCTCCTCTGTATATTCCCTGGAATTTTTATGCTCGACTTTTCCCATTCAAGTTTCAATTTGAGCCTCGAATTTTCACAGTTTTCCACGCGACACTGGTGCTAATCACATGTCGTGGTCGTGGTCCGTGGTCCGTGGACATGCGGCAATTGCAGTGGCAATAACTGGGTTTCCAGTTGCAGTAATCGCCTCTTTGTTGCAATATCAATTTCAATGTACATTCAAATTCAAATGTGTGGGCGGGGGGGAGTGTCTGGAGCAAAGGTTGGGTGTGTTTTTGGAGTGTCTGAAGGGTCGGAGTGGACCTTCAATGGGTTCTCGCTTTTTTTTTCTTACTCAATTTTTTGTGTTTTGCTCTCAAAGCATTGGGGGCATGTGGCAAGGCATAATAGTAGAAAAAAACTACAACAGCAGCAATACAGAAATGCGTATGTATCCGTATCTTTATCTGGTTCTGCATCTGCATCTGCATCTGTGTGTGTGAAAATGCTTTTTATCCGTAGTACGACGCTTTTTGCAAGGCTTCATCGTCTGGGTTGTGTTTCAAGTCGAGGACCAGCGGGTTTCCCTGGACCAGGACCCGGACCCGGTACGCTCTGGTCCAATTCGGATTTGATGCATTTACATTTGCACCTGTGCCACCCACACACACACACACACAGAGAGAGAGAGAGAGAGACGCACCTGGGTTGTAAGCTTAAGTGCCATTACATGCAATCGAGTCGAGTTTGAGTCGAGTTCTGGCCCTGTTCTGGCCCTGCTCTGTGCCTCGTGTTTTCGGCGTTTCGTCCATAAGAGCATAATGCATATTTAAGCATATTTTGTAGTCTACTTTTACGGGCAGTTGGAAAACGACGTCGCCTGGGCTCTCCCTCTCCCTCTCCCTGGGAAAGTGCACTTCATCTAGACAATTTGTTGGGCGGTTTGGCTCTAACTTCTTTGGTTTTTTTTTTTCCTTAGTATTTGTATGGCTTGTAAGTGGGTAGATTATGCGCTGCCAAAGTTGTGACTGCTTCGAGTGTCTGGAGGTAACTATTTTGTGCAGCTTTGGACACCTCCTGCTCTCCCTCGAAGCCCCGTATTATAATGGCTTCATTCAACGACACTTGAGCTACGGTAATTGATGGAGTAAGAGGGCTTTGGGATTCAGCACGTCGCCAAAGATTGAGTATTTGTTGTTGGAATTTTGGGACCGAAAAGCAAGTCTTTAGACAGAGGGCGCCCTACGAACAGCTTTTGGGCCGGTCATGCAATCATCTACAATCTTTAATACAACTCTTAATGTTACAATGATGCGGTAGTACATAATTAATCCTTGTACTTGGGATATATTGGAAAAATGGACTCCTCGTCCAGGTCTTGCCCGCAAAAGGAACACTGCGAAACAGTTTCCATTAGTCCCAGCAAGCAGTTCGAACAGAAGAGATGTCCACAGGTGGCTACCATTGGCGACGCATTCTTCAGGAATTTGCAGCAAAGACAACAACGGGCACCGCGAATGCTCTTCTGGGTTGGACGGCGCCTTTGGGGCGCTTCCTGGCCATCTTTCTTGCCATCGTCTTCGCCCGTCAAGTCAATTATCTGCATGGTCCCATCTAAGGCGTTAGTACCAGTAATCGATGGCATTTTCGGGTGATATTCTGGTTACAAAATTCTACAAGTTTGTTCTACAATTTCTATTGAATGGAAATTCGGTTTGATATAATTTCCGACACTAAATGCCAGTTGGGGCGTCCAAGGCCTGCTCGTTTATCGTTTATCGGCACAGGGGAAATGCAGAGCTGATCCTCACCCAATTCCTCAGGCCCTTGAAGCAGAACAGGTGTCCGCAGATGGTGGCCACTGGACCCTCGTTGGGCAGGTGCTCGTAGCATATGGGGCACAATACGGCATTGCTGCATTCCTCTGCTTCGTCGCCGCTGTCTCCCCTCAAATCAATAACTCGAATATCGCCTCTATGTCCTGCGCGAGACATTTCGGATGAAGTCCTGTCGGAGGCAGCTTCTAAATAGATACTAAATTCGGTTGGGGCTTTTTGGAAGATGATTTTCCATGTGGAATACTTTTTTACATAGATAAATGTTTTTTTTTTTGTTTTTTGTAAACTAAATCCCCCACAAATTTTTGTTAGTTTTTTCTGGATCTAGTGTGCCTTGGCATTATTTATAATTTTTCGACGAAAAATATAATACATTTTTAACAAATTTTGACATACGTAATATTCCGAAATTCCATGAAATTTTTTTGGTAAATAAATAAAAACAATTACTAAATTTTAAATTGGTTAAGCAGACTGCATGTCTAAAGGACGTTCCGGTCTTCATGAACTGATGTCCAACTCCTTGACTGAGGCTCGGGCCGGGCTTGGTCGAGCATTCGCCCCAGGCCCCAGTCCAATTGGGGCAAGGGTTACTGCTTGCCAGCTGCCACCGAGCGCAGCCTCCATCGGGTGGACAGTTTCCATGCCGCCACTTCCACTGCCATGCCGATCAGATGCAAATTTGTCTGCCTGGGCCCCGGGAACGGACGATTCAATCAACTGAAGGGCTTTTGCCTGGGCGTTGACGAGGAGATCGAAAAAATCACCGTATCGCTGTATTCGACAAGATGTGGGCCTCTCGCATGCAGATCTTTTCCAAGGATTTGGAAAGGATTTGGCCGGGCTGGCCGTCACCGCCGAGGGCCATATTGGGACCGTCGATAGTGTCTCGCCCACCGTCTTTGTTATATCCGAGGAAGGTACGCTGGTTTGATTGCAGTGACTATGTGCGTACACCCCTCGGACATAGCCATACGAGACAATGTTTTCTACCTTTGCGATATGAAGGGCCATGTCGTGGCCGTTTTCCAAGACGATGGCACATTCCTATATCGCATTGGCAACGAGAAGGTCTCCGGCTAGCCTCCAATGCTGGGGATTCGCATGGAAATCGCTTCCATGTGACTTGCTATGAAGGCTATGGTGTCCTCCTTCACGTTGCTGCGGCCTGAAGATTACATCCGAAGGTTATGTGGTCCCTCGGGCCAAGAACAACCATCAAGTTCTTGTGAAGGATCCGCCGTGTGTCCAGTGATTCTAAGATGACTCTTCAATCCCGGGTTTTGTGTCTGTCCCCCATTTGCAATGGCCTGGTGGATGCCAAGACACGATGAGCGGCAAATTAGACGTGAATTGGGAGTCGATGGGCAGGCATCAGGCTGGACAATTGCTGCTTAAACACCGCCGATCAAAGGAATAGACCAAATGCATTTTCTACACAAAATTTTGAATGAATTTGGAAAAAATATAATTTTGTAATTTTCAAAATTCCTTTCTTTAAAAAAAAAATTAAAAATTTTGAGTTGTAAGACAAAGGGTATTTATTTTGGAATGTTTTGTTTGGTTTGGGAACCAAAGTTGATGAATGGAATAGACTCTAGTGCTGGAAATTAATATAAATGACAAAGTTTTTCGGCATCTTTATATTAGGAGGCGGTGGAGAATCGCTGGATGTGCCTGGTGGATGCTCTGCTCTCCCGCAATTGGCCTTAAATTGCACCGATTAGAGTCACAAACTTCTTAAGGAAATGTACTTGCACTTTCTTCATCCTTGTGGCGATTTGCATTCCCCTGCAGCAGGCCTTATGGCGATATAGTGAGAGCAAGCCCGATGTGGATGCGAGAGCAAGCGCGAAGTGGATCGTGGGAGCAAGCACGAAGTGGATCGTGGGAGCAAGCACGAAGTGGATCGTGGGAGCAAGCGCGAAGTGGATCGTGGGAGCAAGCACGAAGTGGATCGTGGGAGCAAGCACGAAGTGGACGCTAATTGCCAGCCCGAATTGGGCTGCCCGATGCGGACTGTGCGAGCCAGCACGAAGTGGATCATAAGAGCAAGCCCAAGGTAGATCGTAAGAGTAAGAGCGAGCCCGCTCTCAGAGAGCGATTGCAAGGCGCTGTAAATGGTGGTGCTAACAGGGATCGCTAACAGACTGTTAACCGAGATCCGTAACAGACTACCAGCGCTTTTGCCCTGTTACAGCTGTTGTTGCCCTGAACAGAATCCACCCCGCATAAAAAACAAGGATTTTCGGTTGCAATATTGTAGGGTGGCGGTGACGGGTGGGGGTAGTGGTAGCCAGAACTTTTCCAAAGAAAAACCCCCAATGTAACTTGTAACATGACTGAATAAACACAATTTTCTTCTGTTTTGCTGGTTCGTTCGTTCGTTCTTTCGTTCGTTTGTCAACAATTCAATTCATCAAGCCAGAAGTTTTACCTGAGATAGATAGATACACCCGCATATAGTATGTATATAGAGTGGGTGGGGTAGGGGGTAGGGGGGTGGCTGAACCGTTTCGTTACTTTTCTGTTCTCTATTTTCCTTAACTAAAACACCCTTGAGAGTTTTCTTCTTCTTTTTTTCTTTCTTTATTTGATCATCTTAGCTGCCACTTGCAGTGGCACAAATACACAGGGAGACAGGGAGACAGACAGACAGACAGACACTCAGGAGGACACCCAGGATACGACCTCCTGACTGACATCCTTGACTTGGCTGCTAGACTTTTACTTTTGGCTTTGGCAAACATGTGGGTGGCTGGGTGTCTTCTGTGTGTCTGAGCAACAGAAAAGTTTGCCAACTTATATTGAAAAATGTTGTTAACACGCAAAAGTTTCTCGTTTTTTTTTTGTGTTTTTTTTTTTTGTTGTGCAACGTTTACACAGGCCCCGAACTACAACAAAATCAAGCTAAACAAGTGGAATTCAATAACTGGACACACACAGAGCACACGGAACGCACAGGAGTGCAAACAAAATAACCAAAAAGCTGCTGCTGTTTAAGTGCTCGGAAAGGCACAACTTGGGGCCAAGATTTGAATAGAATCCCGAGCCGAATGTTTTCCTTACCTGGAGAGACGGCGGAAAGAGGGGGGAGTATGTGCAAACCCCTCGAATTGTAGGGCCCTGTATAAATATTTACCTGAGGTTAAGAGCATCGGCCATTCGAAGGGGGGAAGGAAATTTCAATGAACAGTTGGAGGCCGAGGCTCCCCTTTTTTCTGTGTGCGTTAATTCAATTTGTGAAAAACTTTTTTTTTTTCTGTGAATTCCTTTTGGTTAATTCTATTTGCTTTCAAGGTAGGATACATCATCCCTTTGAAAGGATGAAGAGAGTAGAGTAGAGAAGGAGTCCCTCTGGGAGGTGGAACTATGGTGTGGCTTTCATCTACAAGATCCCAAAAGTGATCTAAATGCAACTCTCAATGAAAAACAAAGCCCGGAAAAACAATCGAAAACCCCGTAAGAAAAACCAAATACCATAAATCTCAATTTACAATCGATTTTCGCAAAGAAAAACTCTTGTGCTGCATTGATGCTAAATAATTTACACATAATTTAACACAAACTTGACATCGATGTTGGTTTTACTTCTCTGCTGTTATTCTGTCTTTATTTTTGTAGATTTTTGTGTGTTTTTTGGGGGGGGGGGGCTTGTCGTTGACATTTGCTGTCGCCTTGTCGTGGGTTTATACAGGGTATTAGTAGGACGTTTGTGCAAGGAATGAATCTGCGATTCTTCAGCGAAATTTATAGGTTATCCGCTAGCCTCAACGACGCGACTGTACCCCTCTCGTGCATGAGGCTTTGGTTTCTGTTTTTTTGCTTTGCTTAAATTATTTACCATATTATCAAACGTGACGTCGGGCTGGTGGCACGCTCTGGCTGGGGGTATTTCTTAAGTGTGCACGTAGCAGCCGCAGTGAAGCAGAGAAATCGGGCAGACACAGCGTAAGGCGGTAAAGGGGAAGTACATGTATTGCAATCCGCTAAATTTGCAGTTACATCATAAATTTATAAAAAGTATGGCAAAAGGAGCAACAGGATAGAGGAATCAAGCCAACATTCGAATGCTCTATGAAGGAAATTCGGAAATTTGGGTAAGCTTTAGTTTTCCGTTCGAATACACAGTCGGTCCCAAAAGTCCTCGCTTTAAGACTATTATTTGTTAAATTATTTTATTCCAATTTTATATATATATATATATTTATATATATTTATTATGATTATTATATATATTTTTATTTATTTTATTTAAAATCGACTACAAAAAAAATCTAAAAAAATAAAATCTTTTAAAAAGTATTTTTTTTACCAGCATAAATTTGTAAAAAGCTTCCAAAAACGTATAGAATATTGAGGAAATATGTTTCAATTTTATATAGTTTTTCCAAACAATCCACCAATTTTATAGCTTCCCTAAAGTGTAATCCCCATTATCCCCCCACTATTTTCAAACTCTATCCACTCCACCGTAAAACAAAACCCAAAAGGGGAGAGCCACAAAATTGTCATATGCTGATGAGACAGGAATACCCGTATCCCTTCCTCTTTTCCGCCGCCTCCACCTTTTCAGCGATATACAGGGATTCTTTTTTTTTTTGTGTAGCTTTTTTCGCCCCTGTGGAAAGCTAATCATGATTTGCAATTTAATTTGTTTGCATTCGCGTGCGTGTCGCAAATAAATTGATGTCATACCCAGCCACGCCTCCACTTTTCGCGCTGTCGTGTGTTCAGTGTGTAACGCTTTAAAAGTGGGAAATACAGGGATATATAGGGTATGCCAGAGGACAAGGGTATACTCGAATGCATGGACGGGGCATCCATCAAAGTCCCAGATCGAGATTCAGTTCAGAAAAAGCTATGTATAATTTTTAAAATTTAAAATTGAAGACTGGAACTACCAGTCATCTCCAGGTCGGGCATTCTTTTATTTTATTTGTATTTGTATTTTTTTTTTAGAGCCAGGATACGCTCTCTGGTTACGCTTCGTTCGGTTTTGCACACACACACACACTCACACATTCATTTTGTAATTATTTGCATATTTGATCACGTATACGCCCCTTGAAACAGAAGACCAGAACTTTGCTTTTGCTGTGTGTTTCGTGATGTGCTGCAAATAATTTGATTTCTTCTTCAGTTTTGTTATCGAA